CAAGTCTCCAACATGTCGTATACAGCATAGAGGCCTGTGGGGGCTGCAGTTGTCAATAGTGTAGCCATGTTTAAATGGCATATATCCCCACACACAGAGGTCACACCAATTCATCAGTTGTTCCCATACATGTGTCAACTTCAGTGAGGGTCAATTTACACTTCTTCTTCAGAGAGGAACTTAGTGTTAGCAGGGACATTACTCAAGCACATGTATTAGTTTTTGTTACCTTGGGCAAGTTACTAAATCTCTCTGTTCGCTTTGTTTCCTGGCATGTAAGGTATGAATCCACCACTTGTCTGTCAGTTTGTTTTATTGTGATGGCTTGCGCATTGCTGTGATGCTGGAAGCTATGCCACTGGTATTTCAAGTACAGGCAGGGTCACCCATGGAGGACAGGTTTCAGTAGAGCTTCCAGACAAGGACCGACTGGGAAGAAGGAGCTGGTGGTCTAATTCTGAAAAAAAAATGGCCAGGGAAAACCTTATGAATAGCAGCAGACCATTGTCTTATATAGCCGGAAGATGAGCCCCTCAGGTTGGGCATTCAAAATACAACTGGGGAAGAGCTGCCTCCTCAAAGTAGAGTTGACCTTAATGACGTGGTTGGAGTCAAGCTTTCGGGACCTTCGTTTGCTGAGGTGGCATGACTCAAAATGAGAAGAAATAGCTGCAATCATCCATTAATAATTGGAACGGTGAATGTACAAAGTATGAATGTAGGATAATTGGAAGTCATCAAAAATGAAACGGAATGCATAAAGATCGACATCCTAGGCATTAATGAGCTATCAACAAATGGATGCAACACAGGAAGGGCTCACTCATCTGTGCCAAGAAATTTGGAAGACAGCTACCTGGCCAACTGACTGGAAGAGATCCATATTTGTGCCCATTCCAAAGATAGGTGATCCAACAGAATGTGGAAATTATCCAACAATATCATTAATATCACATGCAAATAAAGTTTTGTGGAAGATTATTCAAAAGCAATTGAAGCAGTTGATAGACAGGGAATTGCCAGAAATTCAAGCTGGATTCAGAAGAAGACCTGGAATGAGGAATATCTTTGCTGATGTCAGATGGATCCTGGCTGAAAGCAGAAAATACCAGAAAGATATTTACCTGTGTTTTATTGACTATGCAAAGACATTCTACTATGTGGATCATAACAAATTATGGATAACATAGCAAAGAATGAGAATTCCAGAACACTTAATTGTGCTCATGAGGATTCTATATGTAGAATAAGAACAGATCAAAGGGATACTGCATTGTTAAAAATCAAGAAATGTGTGTGTCAGGTTTGTATCCTTCCACCACACTCATTAAATCTGTAAGTGGAGCAAATAATCCGAGAAGCTGGACTATATGGAGAAGAATGTGCTATCAAGGATAGAAGGAAGACTCATTAACAATCTGTGATGTGCAGGTGACACAACCTTGCTTGCTGAAAGCTAAGAGGACTTGAAGTACTTACTGATGAAGATCAAAGACTACAGCCTTCAGTATGGATTACACCTCACCATAAAGAAAACAAAAATCCTCACAACTGGACCAGTAAGCAATATCATGATAAATGGAGAAAAATTGAAGTTGTCAAGGATTTCTTGACAAAATCCATTTGACTTGGATCCACAATCAACATCCATAGAAGCAGCAGTCAAGGAATCAAATGACATATTGCATTTGGCAAATCTGCTGCAAAAGACCTCTTTAAAGTGTTGAAAAGCAAAGATGTCACTTTGAGGACTAAGGTGTGCCTGACACAAGCCATGGTATTTTCAATAGCCTCATATGCATGTGAAAGCTGGACAATGAATAAGAAAGACTGAAGAAGAATTCATGCTTTTGAATTACAGCGTTGGTGAAGAATATTGAGTATACCACAGACTGCTAGAAGAATGAACAAGTCTGTCTTGGAAGAAGTGTGACCAGAATGTTCCTTGGAAACAAAGATGGCGAGACTTTGTCTCATGTACTTTGAATATGTTATCAGGAGGGACCAGTACCTGGAGAAGGGCATCATGCTTGGTAAAATAGAGGGTCAGCGAAAAAGAGGAAGACATTCGACGAGATGGATTGACACAGTGGCCGTAACAATGGGCTCAAACATAGCAATGATTGTGAGGATAGTGCAGGACTGGGCAGTGTTTTGTTCTGTTGTACATAAGGTCTCTATGAGTTGGAATTGACTCGCAAGATTATCTCAGGGCAATAGTTTCAGGGGTTCATTTTGCCTCCATGGCTCCAGATTAGTCTGAACCCATGAGCATTTGAAATTTTGGTCTGCATTTCCCCGTTTTGATCAGGATTCTTTTATAGAACCTTTGATCAAAATGTTCAGTAATGGTAGCCAGGCACCATCCAGTTTTCTGGTCTCATGGCAAAGGAGGCAGTTGTTCATGGAGGCAAATAACCACACATTCCGTATCCTCCTCCTATTCCTGACTCTCTTTCTTCTCCTATTGCTCCAGGTGAATATAGACCAATTGTCGTGACTTAGTCCAATTAACTGGTACGTCCTATGAAACTATGACCCTAAACCTCCAAACCAAGAAACCAAATCCCATGAGGTTAGTCTCAGTCATCTAGTGCTGCTCTAACAGAAGTACCACAAGTGGATGGATTTAGCAAAGAGAAGTTTATTCTCTCACAGTCCAGTAGTCCACAAGTCCAAATTCAGGGCTTCAGCTCCAGGGTAACGCGTTCACCATCAGCTCTGGAGGAAGGTCCGTGTCATCAGTCTTCCCTTGGTCTGGGAGCTTCTCTGTGAAGGAACCGCAGGTCCAAACGATGCACTCTGCTCCCGGCACTGCTTTCTTGGTGGTACGAGGTTCCTATGTGTCTCTGCTCACTTCTCTCTTTTATATCTCAAAAGAGATTGCATTAAGACACTGATCTTGTCAACCTCATCAGTATAACCTCATCACAGTGATAGAATTTACAGCACATGAGGAGATCACATATAATCTCATCATAGTGGTAGAGTTTACAACACATAAGGACATCACATCAGATAACACAATCATACAATACTAGGAATCATGACCTAGCCAAGTTGCTACACACATTTTTTGGGGGACACAATTCAATCCATGACAAGGTTTTTGGCTGAACATGAGCAGGCTCAGCAGGTACTTTAATTTTTTTGTTGTTGTTGTAAATATATCTGTCACACAACTTTTGCAAATTCAACTTTTTATAGGTGTACAACTTTTGCCAGCAATTACAATTATCAGCTATGTAACCCTACCCTCAATCAATGCAATTTTTCCATTACTGTTAGCTCCTCCTTCCCCCCTTCCTACCACCCCTGGTAGCCACTAGTAAGCTTTGGTCTCTGTACATTGGTTTTTTCTTGTCTTTGTATACAAGTGAGGGCATACAATATTTCTCCTTTTTTGACTGACTTTTTTCACTCAGCATAATATCTTCAAGCTCCATTCATATTGTTGCATGGTCTTTTAATTGCAGAATTTCACCCATTTACATTTAAAGTAATTACTGATAAGAGAAGACTTATTTCTGCCAATTTGCTATTTACTTTCTGTATGTCTTATTCTTTCTTGTTCTTCATTTCCTCCATTACTGCCTTCTTTTGTGTTTATTTTTTGTGATATACTGTTTCAGTTCCTTTTTCATTTCTTATATTTTTTATATATTTTCTTAGTGGCTACCATGTGAATTTAAGTAAACATCCTATATTTATAATAATCTATTTTTCACTGATACCAAGTTAGCTGCAATAGCATACAAAAACTCTGCTCCTGTATAGCTCCGTATTATACTTTTATGTTGTTATCACAAATAACATACATTGTGTACCCATTAATATATACTTGTAATTATTGTTCATTTTATACATTTGTTGTTTAAGTTATGTGGAAAATGAAAACAGGAGCAACAAATAAAAAATACAATAATATTCGCTTTTATATTTTCCTATGTAGTTACCTCTAATGAATTCTTTATTTGTATTGCTTAGAGTTGCTGTCTAGTGTCCTTTCATTTCAGACTGAAGGACTCCCTTTAGCATTTCTTGTAGGGAAAGTCTACTAGCATCAAACTCCTTCAGTTTTTGTTCATCTGCAAATGTCTAAATTTCTCCTTTATTTTTGAAGGATAGTTTTACTGGATATAGAGTTCTTGTTTGATGGTTTTTTTTTTTTTTCTTTAAGCACTTTAAAATGTTATTTCACTCCTTTCTTGTCACCATGGTTTCTGATGAGAAATCTGCTGTTAGAAACTTTTTTTTTTTTAATTCATCTTCTCTTTAATTTTTTTATTATTATCGTGCTTTAGGTAAGAGTTTACAGGGCAAACTGGTTTCTCGTTAAAAAATTAATACACAAATTGTTTTGTGACATTGGCTGCCAACCCCACGATGTATCAACGTCATGAATTTGCATGTCGTCTTTGTGCAGGGACCATTCTAATCTTCTCTATATCGTTCCAATTTTAGTATATGTGCTGCTCAAGTGAGCACAAAAATCTGCTGTTAACTTTATTGAGGACCTCTTGTATGTGATTAATTACTTCTTTCTTGATGCTTTTAAGGTTCTTTGTCTTTTGGCAATTTGACTAGAATGTGTTTTGGTGTGGACCTTTGTGTTTTTTCTTCTTGAAGTTCATTGAGCTTGTTTGATGTGTAAGATTTGTGTCTTTTACCAAATTTTGGGAGTTTTTAGCCATTATTTACCCATACTTTCAGGGTTTCTTGTCTCTGTCAGGCCAGTAAGTCTGATCTTTTTTTGTGAGTTAGAATTTTGTTCTACATTCTTCTCCAGCTCTCTTCAGGACCCTCTATTGTGATCTTTGTCAGAGCAGTCAGTGGTGGCAGCCAGGCACCATCTAGTTGTACTGGACTCATTCTGGTGGACGCTGTGGTAGTTGTGGTCCATCAGTCTTTTGGACTAATCTTTCCCCTGTGTCTTTAGTTTTCCTCATTCTCCCTTGTTCCCAAAGGGGTGAGACAAGTGGAGTATTTTAGATGGCCGCTCACAAGATTTTAAGACCTCAGGTGCTACTCACCCAAGTAGAATGTAGAACATTTTCTTTATAAACCATGTTATGCTAGATGTCCGCTGAGACCATGGTTCCCACAACCCACAGCCCAGTAATTCAGTTCTTCAGGGAGTTTGGATGTGTCTATGAAGCTTCCATGACCATGCCTTGGTCAAGTTGCGCTGACTTCCCCTGTATTGTGTACTATCTTATGCAAATTAGAGATTTCTGTTGGTCTTTTGTAAGCCAGTCCTACAGCTAAGAGTGTTAGGATTAAATTTGGCTGCAAGAAACAGAAAACACAAGATAAATAAGATAGAAGAATTCTAAAGGTAAGAGATCCAAGGCTGGCTTGGTACTCCACACTGCCAGGAACTGAGACTTTGTTATCTGTTCTCTGCCATCTCTAGTATGTAGCTTCCACCTCATAGATCAAGATGTTTTCTATAGCTTCAGGAAATAGAAAGGAGGAAGGGAGAAGACAAGATGAAGGATGCTTACCAGCTGCATTTTAAGGAAGTTTCTTGGAAGGTGTCACTCATCACTTCCATGTACATTCAAATGAGCAGAATTAGTCCTAACTGCAAGGAGGCAGGAACTGTCTTTATTCCAGATGGTCATGAGCCTCCAGAAATTGAGGGGTTCTATTTCTAAGGAAGAGGGGCAACCGGTATTGGGGTAGACATCAGGCTGTCTCTGCATGAATTTTTCTACCATCACTCTCCCTACCATTTGCTAGGCTTTCCTGACTGAGCAGGGATTTAATGCATGAAACCAGGAAACAATGATCTAAGGCAGAATCCAGTATTGAGGATCACTTAAGTCCCTAGCCTGTTTAATATTAAATAGGAAGGGAGTGTCATGCAAAGACACCTACATGGATTTGGAGAAAGGATGTTCTGGGGTTTAATTAGTTACTTAACACTGAGTAATGAATCACCCCTAACTTAGTGGCTTAAAACAGCAATAATCATTTATTATCTCTCATCATTTCTATAGATCAGGACTTTGAGAATGTTTGGCTGGGAGATTCTGTCTTGGTGTTTTCATGAGGTTGCAATCAGATGTCAGCTGCAGCTATAGTCATTGGTAAGATTGTCAGTGGCTGGAGGATTCCCTTCCCAGGTGGCCTCACTTATATAACTGGAAAGTTGTACTGGCTATGGGCAGGAGGCCTCAGTTCCTCTCTGCATGGGCCTCTCTACCAGCAAGCTTCAGAGTCCTCACGGCATGGAGGCTGGCTTCCCCAAGCATGAGCAATCCAGAAGACAAAGGGTGAAGCTGCAGTGCATTTTATGATATAGCCTTTGAAATCACACACTGTCACCTCTGCAGTATTCTATTGTCACAGAGGTCAGATCTGATGCAGTGTGGGAGGGGATAACACAAAGGCAGGAATACTAGGAGGGGAGGATAGTTGGGGGCCACAGTGAAAGGTGGCTACCATGTTGTTTTTATCTTTGTTAGGTGTCATCAAGTTGGTTCCGACTCATAGTGACCCTATGTACAACAGAATGAAACACTGCCCTCTCCGGCGTCATCCTCACAATTGTTGCTATGCTTTAGCCCATCCGTCACTGCAGCCACTGTGTCAATCCATCTCATTGAAGGTCTTTCTCTTTTTTGCTGATCCTCTACTTTACCAAGCATGATGTCCTTCTCCAGGGACTAGTCCCTCCTGATAACATGTCCAAAGTATGTGTGATGAAGTCTCACCATCCTCGCTTCTAAGGAGCATTCTGGCTGTACTTCTTATAAGACAGATCTGTTTGTTCTTCTGGCAGTCCATGGTATAGTCAATATTCTTTGCCAACACCACAATTCAAAGGTATCAATTCTTCTTTAGTCTTCCTTATTCATTGTCCAGCTTTCATATGCATATAAGGCCATTGAAAATACCATGACTTGGGTCAGGCGCAACTTAATCCTCAAAGTGACTGCTTTTTAAAACTTTAAGGAGGTCGTTTGCAGTAGATTTTCCTAATTCAATACGTAGTTTGATTTCTTGACTGCTGCTTCCATGGGCATTGATAGTAGATCCAAGTAAAATGAAATCCTTGACAACTTCAATTTTTTCTCCATTTATTATGATGTTGTTTGTTTGTCCAGTTGTGAGGATTTTTGTTTTTTTTTATGGTGAGGTGTAATCTATACTGAAGGCTGTAGTCTTTGATCTTAATCAGTAAGTACTTCAAGTCCTCTTAGCTTTCAACAAGCAAGGATGTGTCATCTGCACATCTCAGGTTGTTAATAAGTCTTCTGCCAACCCTGATTCTGTATTCTTCTTTGTATAGTCCAGCTTCTCAGATTATTTGCTCAGCATACAGATTTAAAGAGAAAAGAAAATTAAAACGAGTCCCTGAGAGTAAAAGCACAACCTTGAGTATATTCCACCTGAATTTAGAGAACATCTCAAGAGTAGATTTGAAAGTGGCTACTATTAAAAAACACACCAAACCGATTGCTGTCGAGCCTATCCCAACTCATAGCAACCCTATAGGACAGAGTAGAGCTGCCCCACAGGGTTTCCAAGGAGCAGCTAGTGGATTTGAACTGCCAACCTTTTGGTTAGCAGCCACAGCTCTTAACCACTGCGCCACAAGGGCTTCTATAGTGTTTATTTAATCAGCTTAACACCACTTGATTGTGGATTGCTTCCAGATGACTCTGGTCCTGCGCATCACTGTGAGGTTCAGATGACTGGAAATAAAAGCAGTGGATGCCCATATGTCTGACTTCAGTTCCATGAGTCTCTGGACTCAGACAGATAGGAAAGAGACTGACCCCAGTATTGAGGCAGACACTAGAATGGTTAATTTGTGGCTGATAGAGCTCTAGAATGCTTGAGTTAATGAGTATGGTAGAAGAGGAATAGGCCCTTGTCTGGAGCTAAGATAACTGCACTCTAGAGCTGGTTCGACCATTAACCAGCTATGTCCTCTAGGCAAATCATTTAAACTTTCTGCATCTTATTTTTCTTATCTGTAAAACTGGAATAGTTATGTTGCCTAACTTAAGCTCCTTCCCAGGGATGTTTTGATACTTAAATAACACAATAACATGAAAATGCAGTGAACATATTTTACTAAGATGAGGTTTTGGGCAGCTAGTTTGGCTGATTTTGTGTTGGCCATTAGTTTGTAAGAGAGTGTCTGAATTATTTACAGCCCTTTTCTAGAGAAAGGGAAATAAAAACTCAATGAGATTCTTCTGTAGCTGCAAGTGCCACGATTACTCTCTTTCAGAGCAGAAGGGGCCTCCTAGAATGAGATTCTTAGGGTAGTTCTAGTCACAAGGTCCCACGCCGTTCGGCGTGAATGGCCTTTTGTTTCCAGGTGACGACACTTAGTGCTTCCAGGATGGTATCAGACATGCACGTACAGCTCTTCTGGGCAATTTCAGGGCTCACAGACCCCCTGGAGCCCATCCATGAATTGCCCTAATGGTCCAAGCTTCAAGTTAAAAACCCTTGCCTTGGGGGGTGGTGTATAAGAGTCACTCAGACCAGCTGTAAGAAATTAGACCATGCATGAAAGAAATTGGGCTATAGGCAGGCAAATACTGTAATTAAAATGGATGTTATGACACAAGCCTCTTCGCCAGACTGCAGCTGCTCCTCAGGAGTTACCTCTCAGTCTCACTTTGTTAACCCCATCCTGTCCGTGAGTCAGACTTGCAGACCGAAGTCTCTGTAACAAAACAGCTTCCTGGGCATGCAGGGTTGTGGGGACCTGGACAGCCTCACACTCATGAATACTAGAGGATTCCTCTAATTAAGGCCTCACACCCTACCAGGTCCGGATAACCCAATAGACAAGGTAAGCACAGTGCTTACTTTGCTTACCAGATCATCTGTAGCGAACTATTTCACATTTTTCACCACATCAAAGATTCTGCTTCTAGGTCTGGCTGGCATCTGTCTCTCTCCCAACCCCACAGCACCTTCCTACAGAATCAAATCCTCTTTTCACATTTACAATCCCTGACAGGGGTGGGTGACCCAGTAAGCAAGGTAAACATGGGTTTATTTGTGTTTACTTACTAATCTGTAGAGACCAACTTCATATGGGTTTCACCCCATCAAAGATGCCTGTGTTAAAGAGTGTAGTAGAACAGGAATAAGCCCTTGTCTGGGAGCGAAGATAACTAGATTTCAAAGATGTGGTGAAACCCATGTGAAATCGGTCACTGCAGATTAGTAGGCAAACACAAGTAATCCTGTGCTTACCTTGCTTACTGGGTTATCTTCCCCTGTACCCTACAAATGTATCCCCTCAGTCAGGGGTTCTAAAGACCTGTATGTGTTCCAAAGATAAATATGTGGCACATTAGTGCAAGCCCATTTCTACTTTTAGAAAAGTAGCTCACACTTGGAAAAAGGAACGGATAGAATTCCTTGCTAGCCCTGATGATGATGAAATTTTTGTGTAGCACTTGATGTTAACAAAGGGCTCTACCATACTTTACCTAATTTGTACCTTA